TGGATGGATGGATGGATGAATGGGTGGATGGATGGGTGGATGGATGGGTCAGTGGGGGATGGATGAGTGGTAGGTGGAGGATGGGTTGAGAGATGGTGGACGGACGGATGGATGGATAGATGGATGGATGGATGGGTGGATGGATATATGGATGGAAGGATGCATGAATAAGTGGAGAATGGATGGATAAATGGACACATCAATGGACAAATAAATGGATGGATGAAATTGCAGCACAAGACCTGGCGTGTAGTATGTTCCCAATTTGCTCGCAATTATGAAAGTTTTCTCCATCTCACAGCACAGAAGAGGGGAAAGCGTTGCAGAATGGATATAACATTCTAAATTAAAATAAAATTGCTCAAGCCAGGCGTGGTGGCACACACCTGTAAACCCAGCACTCAGGAGGCAGAGACAGGAGGATGACTGCGAGTTGGAGGCCAGCCCAGACTACATAGTGAGGTCAAGACCAATACAGGGCTGGGGATATAGCTCAGTGGCACAAAAGGCAAAAGGTCCTAAGTTTGAGTCCTGGTGAAAGAAAGAAAGTAAAGAAAGAAAGAAAGAAAGAAAGAAAGAAAGAAAGGAAGAAAGAAAGAAAGCAAGCGACATTAAGCAAAATTGTTCAGCTCTCACTTAGGAAACAGTGTGTGGCAGGCACTTCCAAAGTCTTTTCTAATGTGATAAGAGTTTAATCTTGATAGAGGACCATTTCACAGGTGAAGAAGTGGGCACAGAGAGGTGACACCACCTGGCTAAGGTCACACAGGAAGCAAAGAGCACCGCTGGTTTTCCCCGTAACCCCAGTATGAGCAGACGACCATGTACCTCCGGGTCTGTGTAGATTTCCGGATCCCTCTGGGGACTCAAGAAGGGGAAGAGGAGGAGTCGATCGCCTCGTCGCAGAGAGAACTCCCGCCCGTCTGCCAGAGGCAGGGCCATGTCTGCCACAACCTCGCGGGTGATGAAGGGGGCTGCCGTGAGCCTGAGACACTCGCTGAGGACACTGTCTGCACAGGGGACACAAGAGGGATGAGCGGGCTGTGCTCCCGTCTGCTCAGTGCCACCCCGTCTCGCTTTACAGAGGAAGGTCAAGTGGCTCAGAGAGGGCGCGTGCGTTGCCTACTGTTTAACAGCAAAGGGAGGATGGCAAGCTGTGACCTCTGGTCTCTCAGAGATCCCTGAATGTGAGGGGATCCAGGCCTGACCCCAAGAGAAGCTGTGAGGGAAGGTGGGAGCCCAGGAGGCATGAGAAGCCTGGGGTGGGGCATCTGTGTCTGATTCTGCCTGCCTGGTGGAGTTCCTCTTCTGGAGAAAGCCCCTGGATTTTCCTTGGGGTGGGGTGACCCCACTCTTACTTTCAGGAGTGGGGTTGTTGCTGCGATTCCTAGCTGCTGGAATGGGGCTTTGTTTGACTCGCCAATCAGAGCTCCCTCTGAGCACCAGATGGACACACCATCCAAGGAGCCAAGGACAGAGTCTTGGGACGCGAGCTAGGAATGCTGTGGAAAGGGCTTCTCCTTGGGTAGCCCAAGGCGTCAGCCTTGACCCATGGACAGCCATCCTGCCAGCCTGAGACTGAGCCAACCGGGGAAACAGGGGCTGGGACACGGACAGAGCGCCTTGATAACTGTTCAAGCTTCTGGATCCGCCCTTGTCTGAGGCCAGACACATCCGAATTTTCTAGCTGTGTGCCCCACATGAAGGCCCTTTTCTACTTCAGCCAGTTTAGTGTAGGTTTTCGGTCACTCACAACCAAAAGTCTCCTGAGCTCATGAGCCTTGGACAGCTGAGACTCGGGCATGGATGTGCCAGGACGCAGCAGAAAGGAGGCTCAGGGGGACCTGAGGTCAGAGGACGCTGAGGGGTGCTGGAGGAGGCTTCGGGGGCCCGCTCTCGCAGGGCCTGGCCAGCTCACCAAGCACAGGCGTGTTGTCTAAGGCCTTCTGGGGAAGGGTGTGCATCTGCGAGGCCGGCTGCTCTGCGTGTGGCGGGATGTGCTCGAGCTCCCCTCGGACGGCAGCCAGAGCCTCTGGATTCTTCAGGAGGTAGAGCAGGAGCCAGAAGGCTGCAGGGCCCATGTTTCCCTGTGACCAGAAGGAGCACTCGTTACACCACGGGGCACAGCTGGCTGGTCTGAGCTACGGCCACAGCCCGGCCAGCCACAGGGCTCGGCAGGCCCAGTTCCCATCTCTGCCAAGAATCTGGGAACAACCAATGTCCGTCTTTAGGCTCAGGCTATGACCAAAACCTGTTTGGGACACTGGCGGAGCCGAGTACCTACTTTAAGACCTTTCCTGGTCACTCCTGGGTAATCTTTTTTTTTTTTTTTTT